GAGGACCCATTTGACCCAGCTATTCCCCTACTGGGTATCTTCCCAAAAGAATTAAAAGAATCATACCACAGCGATATATGTGCACCCATGTTTATAGCGACACAGTTTGTAATAGCTAAAGCTTGGAAACAGCCCAAGTGCCCATCAACTGGAAACTGGATAAAGACGTAGTTTTTTTCTAAAATGGAGTACTACTCAGCCATAAAGAACGAGAAACTAGAGACATTTATAGCTAAATGGGTGGATATTGAGGCCATACTCTTAAGTGAAATAAATAGGACACACGTGTAAATACCAAATAGTTTTTCTAGTATGAGAAACTGAAAGTGCAAATAAGGATTAAAACGAATAATTGATAATTTGAAATACGAGGAAAAGAACCAAGGGGGGGGAGGAAAGAAGGGAAAAGAAAAATTATGAGAAAAGAAAAAAATGGAAACAAAGTCTGTGTAAATAGGGAAGGGTGGAGGGGGTGAAGGGCACAGAGGTAAAAAAAAATAAAAACTTAAAAAAAAATAAAAGTATATTCTTTTGTTACCTTTCAAGCCTAAACCAACCTAAGGGACCTGCATCAGCTAGGATGTATAAAAGGCAATGAGGACACTTGCACACACGGCGCTGGCTGTCCAAGCAGCAGGGACACTTGGTGATCCTCCCAATACTCCCATGCGACAGATGAGGGATCCAAGGGATATGGAGACTGACAACCCCAGGAGGTCAGAGCTCACCAGACACTCCTCTTGTTTCACTACACTACCTCTGTCTTCCTAATCGGGCTCCTGGCCTCATCCATGCCCCTGAGAGGAAATTGGGAGTGCAAGGGAATCGGGATCTGCATTTTGGCAAGATACCCAGGGCAAGGTTCTCACAGAAAAAAACAATGTAAGAGAGGGTCAGGGATTTAGCTCAGTGGTTCTACCACCTGCCCAGTAAGTGCAAGGATCCGAGTTCGATTCCAGGTACCCAAAAAAAACCAACAACAACATAAGAGAAATTTCTTTGGTGGTTTAATGTAGACCGAAGCTGACCTGGAAAACTAAATCAAATACAGTTTTTTTGTGGGGGGGGGGGGGGTTTCCAGTACCAGGGATCAAACTCAGGACCTTGTGCTTGCGAGGCAGGCGCAGCGACACTGAGCTAAATCCCTCGCCCCAAACACAGTGTTTTTAACAAGTTAGATGTCATCAGCTGCGTGACACAAAGCCTATGCAACCCTCAGCGCCTCGGTGTTCCTTATCTGTAAAATGGGAGTGAGGTATTTAGCATGGTGCTTAGCAAGTCGTGAGACGGAAGCTGGGGTGCAGTAAGCTGTTGGGAACAGGGCCAGAAAGCAATGCTTTTTGGGGGTGAGCTTCAGCAGGTCTGGCACCTTGAGAACTGGGATCTCCTGCACAGTGCGTGGCACACAGCAAGCGCTCAGCCAGGGTGCGTTTAGAGCAAGAGCGCAGGTGACATTTCTCAATTTTTGACCTGAGCCATCCCATTCTCTAAAGTGTAACACTCAAAACAGCCAGTCTTCTCCATTCCAACACGGAAATCATGTCAGCCCCCACGTCCACCAGTAGGGGGAGGGAGGTTGAAGGTCATAGCTAATCTCATACTGTAAATTATTCACACTAGAACTTTCTATGATCGCGAATTTAAAGCCCTGGTCCACTCAGCCACCCTCTCTAAAGCTCGGTCGTCAATCCGCCCATTTTCCACAGCATCAGGCTCCTATTTCACAGTGCCCTGCCCCTCCCAAGTCTGCATCCTCTTCTGCGACCTCAAACCTTTGACCGCTTTCCCCACCCACCTTGAGCCTCCGCCCCGCCCCCAGCCTTGGCCCTGCCCAGTCACGGGGGTCTCTCCCAGTCGTACGTCCCGCCCACCACTGGCTCCGCCCAACCCTGGGAGGGATGCTCTGCGGGCCCCGCCCATCCTTGTCCCCGCCCACTCGTCCGTTGCCCTGCCGCAGGCCTCGCCCTTTACCGGGTCGCCCCGCCGCAGGCCCCTCCCACCCCGCACCGGGCGCCGGGCGTGCCCACTCCGCGCGCGCGACCTCCACGCCATCCGCGCACCCTACGTTGGGCTGCGGCGCGAGCTGGGGTCAGCGGCGGGAGGCCTGGGCTGGAGGCGGGCCCGGGAGTGGCCGGGGCTGAGGCGTGGGTCTCGGAAGGCCCGGCGAGAGGGGCAGCGCGGTGGGCGCGCCGGGAGCCTGGCGGGAGTGCGAGGCGGCTGCCGGCAGTTACGGACTGACGCCGCCTCTGGACGCCTGGCCTCGTCCCCAGAAGCAGCCTGCGAGCCCCTGTGGCGCCCCTCCCAGGGCCAGACGCGTGCCAGGCGAAGTGAGGCGGCGCCGGGGCTCCCTGGACCGGACGCGGGCGAGGGGGCGGGACGACGGGCTCAGTGGGCGCCGACCCGGGAGACTGGACGGGAGCGGAGGGAGCCGAGCCCCGCCGACCCCGCCTGCTCTCCTAGGCGGGCCTGGCCTGCGGAAGATGGACGGCGAAAGGCGGCCGGCGCTCGGCCCGCCCGCCCAGAGCCTGCTGGCCGACGGGCACCTGGTCCTGTGGACGCTGTGCTCCGTGCTGCTGCCGGTGTTCATCACCTTCTGGTGCAGCCTTCAGCGGTCGCGCCGGCAGCTACACCGCAGGGACATCTTCCGCAAGAGCAAGCACGGGTGGCGCGACACGGACCTTTTCAGCCAGCCCACCTACTGCTGCGTGTGCGCGCAGCACATCCTGCAGGGCGCCTTCTGCGATTGCTGCGGGCTCCGCGTGAACGAGGGCTGCCTCAAGAAGGCCGACAAGCGCTTCCAGTGTAAGGAGATCATGCTCAAAAGCGACACCAGGGCCCCGGACGCCATGCCCCACCACTGGATCCGCGGCAACGTGCCCCTGTGCAGCTACTGTGTGGTTTGCAAGCAGCAGTGCGGCACGAAGCCCAAGCTCTGCGACTACAGGTACGGCCTTTGTGGGGACTTGCAGTCCCACAGTCCAGTGCGGGAGTCAGGATTACAAAGGGCGAGGGGGAAGGCCCGCCTTCATCTCAGCAGACAGCCTCAGCTGCTGGCCTGCAGGCACCCCTGGTGATGAGCAGCGGTGCGGGTCAGGATGGCCTGGCCTGCACTCATCAGCCAGCGTGCCCTTCGGGGTCATAAAACGGCTTTTCACTTTCATCCAGAGGTCCCTAAGTGCTGCCTGCCCCCTCGTTCTCCCTCCCCCCTCCATCTCTCTCCATTTTGCATAAGGGAAAATGAAGTATGGACAAATTAACTTTTCCTTTCAGCCACAAAACTAATTCATCCTCGGTTTTGTACTGTGAAAACGAGTGTCATTTGCTAATACAGCTGTTGCTGCCTTAGTGAAATATACTCAAAAGCAACACTGGAAGGAATATTTCTTCTGCAGATGGCTTTTCAGGATGTGTAGCATCTCACATAAATGACCTTAGTTAAGCCAAGAATATTTTAGCGGCTTCTTCATGTCCTCTGGACGACACATTTCAATTGTAGATTTCTGAAATAGGTGATAGCATATCCTCTGCTCATGTTAGCAATTGGTGGAAGGGAATAGTACTTTACAGATCATCTGTTCTTTCTTCACAGTTGAGAAAATTAAAGGTAAAGTAAAACTAGCTTGCAGGATTTCTAGCCCTCAGAATAGGGCTACAAAAATATCAACAACTAGTGTTCTCTGAGCCTTAAATCTGGAATCTTCATTATAGTAGGTTTTATTTCTGACAGATAGAAAGCCCCGTGAACCTATTTTAAAACTGAAATAGAAAGCTGGGACTAGGTAGGCAATTACTTTTTTTTTTTTTACCAAAACAATAATCTTTTACATTAGCATGAGCAGTTATGTCAATACATTGTTTTTAATCTTATTTTAAATTATTTTATGCATTATTAGATTTAGACTTAATAAATTTTCAAAATGATGCATTTTAGGCAACTACAGTTTTGTGTCTGTTCATTTTTGATATCTTTAAAATTTAGTTGTTCTGTCTGTCCATCTGTTTATCAGTGAATGCCAAGTTACCAGTGACTTTAAATAAATTTCATAATGAAGTGTTGTTCTATTTCCTCCCCTTCTCTATGTGCAGAGTTGGATAAAAATGGCTTCCATAAATAACTGTATTTCAGATACTCCTTAACAGATAATCAGTGCTTCTGATCATCTAGCCAAGTGATCATTCTAAAAATCCAACTCTAAGGCCAGGGATTTAGCTCAGTGGTTCTGCCACCTGTCTCACAAGCACAGGGTCCCAAGGTTGATCCCCAGTATCAAAAAAAAAAAAAAAATGCAACTCTAACCCAAGCCCTTTAATTTGCTCCTGATCCTTTATAGTGATGAGTTAATGGTCTCAATGTGAACCCCAGAGGCTTTTTGTTTTGTTTTGTGTTTTTAGTTTTTAATGACAGGGTCTCGGTATATAGCTCAGACTGGCCTTAAACTCACTATGTCCTTAGGGTGGCCTCGATCCTCCTGCCTCAGCCTCCCAAATGTTGGGATTACAGGCATGGGCCACCACACTCAGCTGTTTTAGCCAGTAATTTTATGCAGGATTAGGGTCAGGGTCTGCTGTGACCTTCTGTGAGAATGACATATTTTGGAAGGAGAAAGAAAATACTACTTAGAACCTTTATTTTTTTTGTTATCTTTTTAAATTTTTATTAGTACATGTTTATACTACATAATGATTACATTCATGTGGAGCGCTGGTACATCTACATAATATGTCTTAATTTTTTATCACTTTAGCCTCTCCTCCCTCCCCCCTTCCTCCATCTCCTGGTCCCTTTCCCGTTTTCAAAAGACCTTTGCTCTTTAATTTATTTATACCTTGGATTTTTCATGTAAGAGAAACCATATGATATTTAAGCTTGTGTGTCTATTTCACTTAACATTATGGTCTTAAGGTGCATCCATTTCGCTACAGATGGCTCAAATTTAACTTCCTTTCCTTTTTTTTTTCTTTTGAGACAGAGTCTGACTATGTAGTTCAGGCTGCCTTGAACTCACTGTGTAGCCCTGGAACTCATGGCAATCCTTCTGCCTCAGCCTCCCAAATGCCAAGATTATAGGCCTGCCCCACCACACCTGGCTCAAATTTAACCTCCTTTAAGGCGGAATCGTACTTCATTGTATATAAAGCTCACTTTTTTTTTATCCATTCATCTGTTGATGGACGTGTAGGCCAGTACCAAGATTTAGCTATTAAAGGGTTGTAAGGGCCGGGGATTTAGCTCAGTGGTGCAGTACCTGCCTCACAAGTGCAAGGTCCCGAGTTCGATCTCCGGTACCAAAAAAAAAGAGTTGTGCACCCATCAATATGGATGTGCGTGTATCACTGGAATATGGTGTCTTTAGCTCTTTTGGGAAGACACCTAGGAGGGGAATAGCTGGGTTGAATGGAATTTCTAGTTTTAGTTGTTTTGTTTTTCTTTTTTGGGGGTACTGGAGATCAAACTTGGGTCCTTGCGCTTGTGCAGCAGTCAGCGAAACCACTGAGCTAAAATCCCCGGCCCCTCAAGTTTTAGTTTTTTTGAGGAACCTTCATACTGATTAACGTAGTGGTTGTATTAGTTTATATTACCGTATTAGTTTATATTACCACCAATAGTGTAGAAGGATTGTTTTTTCCCTATAGTCTCACTGGCATTGTTATTATTTGATTTACTGTGATAGCCATTCTTTCTGAAGTAAGATGGAATCCCGGTGCTGTTCAATTTGCCTTTTTCTAATGGCCAGAGATAGTGAGCATTTTTTCATGAATTTATTGACTATTTGTATTTCTTCTGAAAAGTCTTCATTTCAGTTGCCCTTTTTTTTTCCATTTAGTTTATTGGTACATTTTAGGTATACACTACAGTGACATTCATCATTGGGTGTTCATACCTGTACATGACGTATCCCGGTTCTTATTTTTTTCCCTTCCCCTGCCCTCCCCTCACCCCCTCCTCCCTTCCCTATTTACAGAGACTTTGTTTCCATGTTTTTCCTTTTCTCATATTTTTTCTTTTCCCTTCTTTCCTTTCCCACTCCTCCCACTTCCCCTACTCCTTTCGACCTTTTCTTCCTATTTCACAATATCAAATATACATTTTGATCCTTATTTATACTTTTAGTTTTTCACACGAAAGAAACTATTCAGTATTTACACGTGTGTCCTATTTATTTTCAATTGCCCTTTTTAATTGGGTCTTTTATTTAGAGGGGTCTGATTTTTTTTTTTTTAGTTTTTTATATTTTCTAGATATTAGTTCTCTGTCCAGAGAGAAACTGGCAGAATTTTTTCCTGGTCTCAAGGTTGTCTCTTCATTCTTGTTTCCTTTGACATGCAAAAGCTTTTTATTTGATATAATCTTATTTGTTGATTTTTGATGTTATTTCTTGGAAAATTGGAGTTCTGTTTAGAAAGTCCTTGCCTATCCCTATGTCTTCAATAGTTTTACCTATTTTATCTTTCAGCAGATTATTTCTGTTTTAATAATTAGGGCTCTGATCCATTTTTATTTTACTTTAATACATGGTGAGATACTTAGAACCTTTGCACACAAACCAGACTGGTGCTCTCTGGATTTTTCCAGCAGTGTGGAAGACTCCTTCCCCATCTGCTGCATCACATTCTCGGAGAAGGTGGTGAACTCTGGAGATTAGTGAACAGATTAACATTTCTAGAGGGTAATAGCGGTGGTGACGGATTTCACAGCCTACATCCCTGTTAAACTCTCCAGAATAAGTGACAACAGCCTTTTTATATGTGGCCTGTCAGTCTTTATACTCATTAGGCATCTATTTTATGTCAGCCACTGTGCTGGAGTCTGCTTTCCCTGTAGATGTTTTTCTTTGTATGTGTTCCTTCCTCTACCCCCAACTGCTACAGTGTGTTTCTGTACCTGGTATCTTATCACTCCTTCCCTATCCTTCCTTCTGTTCTTTTCATTTCTCTTCTGACCAAAATAGGGAATTAGGTTGTAAAAAGTATTCATTATATGTATTAAACCTCTGTTCCCTGTAATACTGTTTCTCAGGAAGAAAGAAAGAACTTAGTGCTTGTTTTGTTTTGTTTTGTTTTTGAGACAGGGTCTTGCTATGTAGTTCATGCTGGCCTTGAACTCCCTTGTACAGCCCAGACTGGCTTCAGTCCTTCTGCCTCAGCTTCCTGAGTACTGGAATTACAGGCATATTCCACCATACCCAGCAGTGCTTTGTTATTTTATAAGACTTTTCCTTTGTTACATTCTTCCTCTTTTCTACTGCTACACACACTGAGATGCATAAAGCAAACTTTGACTCTTAAAAGAATGATACTGGCCTTTTTCGCCTTGGCTGTGATCTTAAATTTTATGTTTTTCGGGCCAGGCATTTAGCTCAGTGATGCTGCCGCCTGCCTTGCAAGCCCAAGGTTCCAAGTTCGATCCCCGGTACAAAAAAAAAAAAAAATTTATGTTTCTCGCTTCAGTTATTGTGTGTTTATTTGTTATATTAATTATCTGAAACAGTGAAAGATACTAAGTCATCTTCTAAAGCAGAGATAAAAAGCCAAAAAATAAGTACAGTATTTTAGGCTTCAGGAATCATTTGGTCTATTTTTATTACTTAACCCAACCTAGTATAAAACCAGCCATAGACTACATGTCTTAGTCACTTTCTCTTGGCTGGAACACAATACCTGACACTGGCAACTTATAGGAGGAGCTTATTTTGGCTCATGGTTTTTAGACGTTTTGGTCCACCATCAGCTGGCTCTAGGGCAGAGCAGCATTCTGGAGTGGGATAGTGGAGGAAAACTTGCTCACATCATGGCAGCCAGGAAGCAGGGAGCCAGGGAGGGAGCCTGGGAGCCCCTGCCCAGTAACACCCACTGCCACCCACCTCTCTGACCAGACCTCACCTCGGAGCATCACATGTAGCTGTAGCACCCCATGATTCAGTCACCCTTCCAAAGGGCTGAGGA